CCACCTTTTCCATGTGTCTTTTTTTTTTTGAGTTGGAGTCTCACTCTGTCGCCCAGACTGGAATGCAATGGCATGCTCCCGGCTACCGCAGCCTTGACTTGCTGGGCTCCAGTGATCCTTCTGCCTCAGCCTTCCAAGTAGCCAGAACTGCAAGCACAGGCTACCACGCCTGGCTAATTTTTTGATTTATTGTAGAGACGAGGTCTCACCAAGTTACCTGGGTGGGTCTCGAACCTGTGGGCTCAGGCAATCCACTTGCCTCGGCCTCCCAAAGCGCTGGGATTACAGGCTGAGCCACCGAACCTGGCCTCCAGATGTGTCTTCACGTGGTCTTTTCTCTGTATGTCTCTGTTCTTTTATCCTCTTTTTATGAGGGCAGCAGTCATGTTAGATTAGGACCCACTCTAATGATGTCATTTTGACTTAATTATTTCTTTGAAAACCCGGTCTCTCAATACTGTCATACCTGAGGTACTAGAGATTAGGACTGCATCTTGTGAATTTTGGTGGGTGGACACAGTACACCCCGTAGCACTTACCTATTGCCTTTTGCAGCATTAACACTGAGCTTCTTGTCCCTGCCTACACTTGAGTTAGTGCAGGTCCTGTTTCCATGGGCCTGGCTTCTGTTGGGTGATGGGAACAGATGGGATTGAACAAGATCAAGTGTGGAGTGAGAAAGCTGGAATCAAGTGTTAGTTTTGAGTGATTGTAAAATATTATTTTTGTAGTCTTTAATTTAGCTTTTAATCTTCTCTTTATAATACCTAAGTTGGAGGCTTTCAGATCTTCTGAACTTCATATTGAACTTGAAATAATTGGGAATAATAATAAATGAAGGAATATGTCCCCTTTCTCAAACTTTACTCTTAACCCTATCTCCACCCCAGCTCTAAGGCCCTATCATGCCATTTCCAGATCAACTGGAAATTACTTTTACTTCCACATTTACTTGTAGCTTTCTGCTACAAAGTTGTCTTGATTTTTTTTTTTTTTTAGCTAGACAACCTTGTCATCTTGATTTTTTTAGCTAGATAATTAAAAAGAAGAATCACTTTACATCAGTAGTATTTCTCTTGCATCTAAAATGGTAATTATCAGTAACATGTTGTGAGTTGGATAATGTAAGTAAAATTTTTTGTGACCCTGAAAAGCCATGTCAGGTGTAAGGTTGAGATATTGTTTGTTTCATCCCTTTAATAGTAGGCTTGAATCTCTAAATTTGGGATCTGTTTTGGGTTTCACGCCGTTGTAATTTTTTCACAAAGAAAATATTTGCGTTATTGCTTCTTAATGAAGAGTCTGTGAAGGTGGTTCAGAAATATGAAGACTCATCATGCTTTGGTGTTGGGAGCCAGCCTTGGAGGCCCACCTGATTGACAAAGTCCAGGTGTGCCGAGGACCCCCAGCTGCAGAGCAAGTCGGGGCAGCTGAGGCCCTTCTGTCTTCCGTCTTTACTGTTGGTACAGCTGAAGAAATTCTGTGCAGTCGTGGAGGAAGAAAATGGCATGTTTATGCGAAGTACTCACAGCTAACCTGGAAATGTCATAGTTCATTTTTCCATTTCCCACTATGCTGTTTGGCCTTTTCTAACATATACAAGAATTAAACTCTGAAACACATCAAAAATACTTTCTTTCACTTGGTTATAAGTTACTAGATATTGCTTAAGTAATAAATGATATAAGTATATTCACTCATTTGATTTAGAATTATGTAGTTTAGTGTTTAGACATAAGGATTTTTAGAAGCACAAGTTGATAGTAAGTCCATTATGTATTCATTATAAGTTCTAACACTTATATAGGAGTTATGTAGATGATTTATAACACTGTTTTCACTAACTTAAAATAAAGATTATCTTTAAGGTTTTTACTTAATTCAATAGTTAAAACTCTAAGTTAACATTTATAAAGTAAATTTTCACTAAACTCATAATATACTAATCAGACACTTTTATAATCAATCAGCTAAAACAGAAAGCAACCTTGAGAGGCCTAAAAAACATTACTAAAAGCTTCTTTTAAGTTCTCTTTAAAAACAAACACTACAAGATAAGAGAAAAGTAACAAAAACATCTAAACAAAAACATTAAATGCCATCTGTTCAGGAAGCAGGTGTCCGAGTATAATATTTTCGTCCTTCGCCTATCTGTCTCTCCTTCAGAAAATCTCACAACCCTTGAGGGGCTGGACCCCCACACTTTGGAATTCGAAGGGACCTTAAGAAACAGTTTTTATCAACAAGGAAGCTGAAGTCCTAACATTTGTGTGAGATTGAGGGGATAGTATCAGAACTGGGATTTAAGTTCAAGTACTCGATCATCAGTTTATCTGCTGTTTACTTCATATTTTATGTTTCCTAATGAGATTTATGTTCTTAAAACAACTGTGATAAAACAAAAGAGTATATTTTATTCAATTAGTAGTACAGAAGGAAAAAGTAGTAGCCTGGATTGTGTGGGTCTTCCATCAAGCTGATTATTTCAAGTACAATTTTTCAAAGACCTGCATACATTATTGTAAAGATAGGTAGAGATTTATAAGCCTTGGCATAGTCAGGATATATCACGGGGCTCACAGCTTCAAGAATAACTGATGTTAGTAGAAGGAATTTTATTTCACTTAGTAAGATGGGAGAGTGTTAATGTTTTGATTTGGGCCTGAATGTTGGGTTTTAGGGTCCCTCACAATTATCAAAGTATCAAGTGCTTTGTTAAGTGGAGCCCTTTAGTGTATTTTACTTCTGGGTAGAGCAGCTCTTTTAAAAAATGTTTCTCCCCTGTGAGAATTTGTACACAACGTATACACAATCTGTATACATCAAATATTGCTTCACTTCAAGCTTTAGTGCCTTTAAGCCTGGCTACTCAAACTGGTGGTCTGTGGATCAGCATTACCTGGGAACTTTCAGGAATGTGGAATCTCAGGCCTCACCTTGACCAGCTGACTATAGGTTTTGAGCAAGATTCTCAGGTGGCTTACATGCACAGTTGAAGTATGACAAACATTGGTTCCTGGACCAAGCAACATTGGCATCACCCTAGAAAATTGTTAGAAAATGCAAGTTCTCAGGCCCCATCCCAGACCTACTGAGTCAGAAACTCTAGTGTGAACCCCAGAAATATGTATTTTAATTAGGGCTGGCGGTGATGCTAAATCATGCCAAAGTTTGAGAACTACTTTAGAGCAAAGTGTTTCAAACAGTTTAGATCATGACCTATGGTGAGAAGTAGTTTTAATAATGACTCAATACACACACGCAATTTAGAAGTTTTATATAACAATGTTTATATTACTGTATGCTTTCTACTCTTATTTTCAGTTTTATTCTATTAAATATGTATGTGTATATAAACTTATTTATTTAAAAAAAATCTGATCATAATCCACTCAGCTTATTACATAAGCCAGTAATGGTTCAGGAGCTGCATTTGAGGAACAAAAAGAGGACAAGAAAAGTCTCTTAATCTTTCTTGTGCCGTGGCCCCTTTTGGCATCCTGGTAAAGCTCTGGATCTGTCAGAACAGTGCTTTAAAATTACATACAATGCATAGAGCTGCAAAAGAAACCAATTATAATGGCTACCAGAATATTACATTTTGATATGATAGTATATGTGTTTCTTTACTGATAACAAGATTTAGTGATGGGTCTAATAACTACTACCTTTTAGACTAGGAATGAATATAAATGGTATTTTGAATTCTGCGGTAGCTGTTATGTGAAAATGACTGATTTCTGTTGGTGGCAAAGTTAGAGTTATTGCTACTAATACTGTGATTTGTTGCCTACATTCATATTTGAGAAAAATTGCTAATTTTGAGTTTAAGGTAAGTTCAGTGAAGCTTAAGTGAAGATGTTAATTCACCCCAAGCCCCAACTTCAGAATTCCAGAATTCAGTTGATGGACAACCTGAGTCCCCTGCTGTGGATTTGAGATGAACAATCTTCGCTCAAGAGGAACTTTTCTTTAGAGAACAGTTTTTAAGCTTTAAATTGAGACTCTAAGCCCAAAAATTATCTTCCTAGAATTTTTAAAAGCTTTTGTTTCATGGGTGGTATTTTTTTTTTTTTTTTTTGCTTTCTAGCACCAATGTAATGGATTTCTTCTCTTAAAATTTTCTTTTCTGGCATTTTAGTGAGACCTTAGGGGGGACACCTGGAAGCCCAAGTATTCCTTCTCTAGTCTCTGCCATCTCAGTGCATGCATTCAGTTGCTCAAACCAGATTCCTGGGAGTCATCCTCAGTTTCATGGGTTCTGGATTTAGACTGGTTGGATTCGAACCTGGGATCTACCATTTAGCAGCTGTATAACTTTGGAAAAATTAGTTTCCTGCTTGTTGCCTCCTTTTTTCCACCAGTGAGACAGGGATGATAATAGTACCTACCTACCTCATAGGACTGTTCTGAGCATTAAATAAGATATTTCATGTATTGTGTTAAAACAGTGCCTAGCATGGAGTAAGTGGTTAGTAAATGTTATCCATTGTAATTATCCTTGATTCCTTCCTTTCCCTACATTCTTTAAATTCAATTTATCAGAAAGCCTTGTGGATTTTCCCTACAAAATATATTTGAAGTTCATTCACTTTTGCCTATTTCCATTGCCATCATCCATTTCTGAGTTCACATACTCTCATTTGGACTGTTAAGTGGTGTCTCTGCTTCCTTTTGTCTCTCTCCAATCCATTTTTTATATAACAACCACATGATATTATAAAAGTCTAAATGAACAGTCTTTTAAAAATGTAAATGAATCACTGTAACACATAAGCCCTTCAGTGGCTTCCCATCAAACTGATCAAAGTGCTGCATTCTATCCTTGACCTACACACCCTGTGTATTTGGCTCCAGTCTCTTCTATGAGTGGTGCTGTTCTCCCTGCCAGTCTCTAATCTTACCTGTTCACTCACTCTTCTGTGGCCATGGCAGCTTTCTCTCAGTTATCTGAGTAAGCCTGTCCTTTCATACCCTAAGGCCATAGCATATTGGCCTCCATGTCTCTGCTGGTTGCTGCTGTTCTTTCCCAGCCTCTTATCCTTTTCATTCTGCAGGTATTAGGTCCTCAGAGGGCCTTTCCTGAATTAGGACACCTATTATGGGAGCCCCTTGATGTAGTTCCTCTTTTACCAGCCCGAGGCTGCCCAAACATGTCAAAATTACCGTTTGCTCTCTATTGGGTAAAAGGATAATTGTGAACAACCTGTGGTTAACATCAAGAGGAGTATGCACTTTTTTTCAGAAAGATACGTTTTGCACATTATGAGCACCAGTGATTGTAGAGCTGTTTTAAGAAATTGCCTGAAAACTGTGCAAGCTAGCTCTTTAATATTGATATTGAAGAACAAAGAAGGGCCTGCCCACTGAATGTGTCTGCAGGGGGATAATGGAGTTTATGATGGTGTCTTCTCACTACTGTCAGTCATTTCTGCTCCAAAGGATATAATAGAAATCATAAAATTTTCTGCTTTGAAGTAGTTGCTTGGTTGCTAATAAAACCCTTCATACTTCTCTCCTCTAAAGTGAATGAATGGTTGTTGCTGCTCAGGTATGAGAAAAGTAGATGTTTCATAACCATGGTAGAAGACAGTGAGGGTCATGTCTGGATCCTGGTTAATGTTTGAGTTCAGAGTAAAAAGATGTCGGGAGGACTCTCCAACTGGTCTAGGTCACATTTCTTTGTGTTTTGAAATTTTTTCCTTGCTTCTTTTTCTAATTAGTCCTGGCCAGAGAAGGGAGGCACTCCTGATTTTAGACAATTGCCTAAAACAGCCAGAAAGGAGGCCTTAGAATTCAGAATTATAATGTACCACTTCCATTGTAGCCTTTGTAGTTTTTATTTCAAATACAGGACTTTTAGTAATTATAAAGAACACTGGGACAGATGTTCTATAATTTAGGTCAGTGTATATGGAATGCCTGGCAACTCTGTTTCATGCCCTTTTTGGTTGAATGGTGTTCCTGATTATGTAAAAATATGATCCCTTTTGGGGAAAGACTGCAGTTTTTTTGGCATACTTAACAGAACCCACACAAAGAAATATTCTTGTTACAGACTGTGGGTAATGATAATCATTTGAAAAAAAAAAAATACAATATTTACTTGCAGAAAAGTAGTATAAACGTAATTTAAAAAAAAATCTACCATACTTCTGCTTCCCAAAGCCAAACTTCTCAATTTTTTTCTGATTTCCCAATAGATGTTTATACACACACACACACACACACACACACACACACACACACACACACACACACACTCAGATATATTTATGTACACACACATATATATATATTTAAACCAGGATATTCAGAGTATATGTATATGTTTTTTTCTGTAATTGTAATCATGCAGTGATCATTTTGTATTCTGATTTTTTTTTTTTGAGTTGGAGTCTCACTCTGTCGCCCAGACTGGAGTGCAGTGGCCGCTCCCGGCCACCGCAGCCTCGACCTGCTGGGCTCCGGGGATCCTTCCGCCTCAGCCTTCCGAGTAGACGGAATTACAGGCATGCGCTACCACGCCCGGCTAATTTTGTGATTTTATTGTTGAGATGAGGTCTCGCTGCCCAGGTGGGTCTCGAACCCGCAGGCTCAGGCAATCCACTCACCTCAGCCTCCCAAAGGCGCGGGATTACAGGCTGAGCCACCAAGCCCGGCTCTGATTTTTTTTCTTGTTATACTGTTCGCATTTCATTTTGAATGGTTATATAGCATTCCATCAAGTACATGTCTTAATTGATTAACTATTTCCTTGTTGGATAATTTGTTTCATGATATATTTTAAATGATATCTTTGTTTTGTTCTTATTTTGCAGGCAGAGACCTTTGTTTGGGTTAACAATGCATCTGCACATTCCCAAAATGTTGCCAAGGCCAAATATGAATTTTTATTTGGCAGACCTGAAGAGAAAACTCCAGATACTAGTAAGTGTTTTCTGATTCCCTTCTTTTAGGTAAAAGTTATGAAACACCATGATTTCTGAGTACTTTTCTTCACCTGTGTTACTTCCTTCCTACCTCTGGAAACCCATTTGCTCTAACTATTCATCAGAACAATCTTCTCAGGGTGTAGATTTCAGAAATATTGGCTGTAGTTGTTCTAGCCTATTCTTGATCATTTCAAGTCATGTTCTTGGTTTGAAGAATTCTCAGCTTTTGATGTTTGAAATTTTAAGAATTAACTAATTCTAGTAAGAATTTTTCACATTCACCATTGTTGTATGTATTGACTAATTTATTGTTGGTGCTTGTTTTTGGCTATCAACATATATTATTAAGAAATATTTCCACAATGATTTTCAGACAATGCAGTCTTCACTTTGGGAATTATCTTAGTTCTTGTTTATTTTTAGTGTTGATCTGATCTAGTTACCATATTCTAGCATTTGGAAATTAGAAGCAAAACATTTCATTTCAAAACAGGAAGATTTAGAATAGAAGAACTAGTACTAGTAACAGTAAATATTAACTAATTTACCAGATTATTTACTGTATGCCAGGCACTATGCTAGGTGCTTTGCATGCAAAATCTCATTTACTTCACACAGTAACCCTGCAACTTGGTGCTACTATCCCCGTTTTCTAGATGAGTAATGTGAAGTAATTATTCTCCATCACAGTTCACTCACACAGCAGAGCCAGGACTTTAACCCAAGTCTGCCTGAATACAAAGCTCATGCTCTCAACCTGTTGGGGTAATACAATTTTGAAGGCATTTTTCTAGAAAGAAGTACTATATCAACACACAAATAGCTTTAAGTAGAGTTTCAAAACATTTAACTGTGTCTGTGGAAGACCAATGATAAAGAGGATATTAGCATATCTTGGGTTTTAGACAGGAAAGGGCTATTGAACGTGGTTAATATGCTCTGAGCTCTGGAGCTAGACTTCTTGAGCTTGAACCCTGGCCTTGTAACTTATGAGCTGTGTAACCTTGCATAAGTTACCCAACCTATCTGTGCTTCAGTGTCTCATCTGTAAAATGGGATTATAGTGATATATGTCTCAGAATTCTTTGGAGGGTTAAATAAGTTGACATATGTAAAGATCTTAGAGTCATGCTTGGTATATACTAAGTGCTATACATCCTCATTTAATCCCCATACAAAAGCGTTTGCTGCAATTATTTGCTACAGTTATCATCATCAGCATCATCACCATTGTATTCCTTTGAGACTGACATTTAGAGGTGCAGTCCTGATATTCCTCAGCTGTGTCATTATCTGATGCTCATTTCTGTTTTGGGAGGACAAGGAATCTGACTTAATACAGCTGTTGTCCAGTTGAAAAAGCTAAATGCAATCTACATTTTTGACTTATATGTTAGGTGGGGTTATTTATTTATTTATTTTAACTTTTACTTTTTTATGTTAAAGATGTGGGGTACAGTTCAGAGCTAGTTATACAATGTTCATTCTGCAGGTACCCTTGCTGATGAAGGGTGCCCCCCCTTTCCGAGGCAGATTCCCACTACTGTCAATCCTGTGGGATTATTTAATAACTCCATATTTGAGGATACCAAGAAGGCAATATATATGCAGCCACATCATAATTTATTTTGTCTTGAAAATGAATATTTATTAGATATTTCAGTGGTTGGGAACTCTAAGTTGTAGTACAAAATAGCTAAATGATTTTAGAAAGGAATTCTTCTTTTATTACAGTGTGCCGGTTTAGAGGGGAATATGTTTCATAATATCTCTCACATACTTATTATGTGATATAGCCATTTATACTATTTATCATGTATCATAAATGCCTAACTCTTCCAGACTTGAGGGTTTGGGGTACCTAATATCCATTCCTAATCACTATTTCCAGACACAGGATACTGATTATAGTCGCCCCAAGACTGTTTAAAGCTCCTTGGCATTTTTTTTTTTTTTTTGAGTTGGAGTCTTACTCTGTCGCCCAGACTGGAGTGCAGTGGCCGCTCCTGGCCACCGCAGCCTCGACCTGCTGGGCTGTGGCGATCCTTCCGCCTCAGCCTTCCAAGTAGCCAGAATTACAGGCATGCGCTACCATGCCCGGCTGATTTTTTGATTTATTGTAGAGATGAGGTCTCGCTGCCCAGGCTGGTCTCGAACCCGCGGGCTCAGGCAATCCACTCACCTCAGCCTCCCAAAGGCACGGGATTACAGGCTGAGCCACCGAGCCCGGCTGCTCCTTGGCATTTTAACTTTGGATACCACATTGTAATTTTGTGCTGATTAAGCTTTTTTTTTGACTTCAACAAAACTAATTTTTACTTAGCTGAGTAAAGATCATAGCAGATGTCCACATAGTCCTCTGCCTTATTGGTGGGTGAATTTGGTTCTTCCTTACTCATGTGTTTTGAGTAGTTTTTTCCTGTGTTGCCAGCTAAAATATGTTGTATCGAAGGCAAACCAAAATGGCATTTTACACCTTCTGTTTGTTATTTACCTTGGTAAAGATGGTTGGTGGCATTTGCATGCACTTATTGAACTAATATATTTAATGAGTACTTATTATGTACTGATCACTTGTGTTGGGCACTGTGAGGGTGCAGAGAAGGAGTTCCTTATTCTTCGGTCAAGGAAAAGCAACATGTCTCCAAATGACTAGTGGGAGGAAATGATCACTTTCAGCTGAGCTGGTGATGACTTCATGGAGGAGGTGGAAGTTGAACTTGGTCTTAAAGGATGACTGAAATTCTGATTTATAGAGTTTTGGGGGAAGGCATTTCAAATTGAGGCAATGGCCTGAACAGGAGTGTATGAGTGAGACACAAAAAATCCCTTCTTTTTGGAGGTGGGCCCCTTGCAGTTCAGGCTTCCAAACTGGCTAGGTAAGTGTTCTAGGAACCCACTGGCATCAGTATACCAGCTAATGTTGTGAGAGGCTGTGTTCAGTTTCAGTGATTTTTTGGGGGGCGATTTTTTTCAACATGTTTGCCCACTTCATGATGAGTGATTTATGAGTGCACCTACCCACACTATGCCAAGTGTTCAGCAGTTTTTGACCCCAAACCACATGACCCTGGTACCCCACCCTCCCTATTCACTTGATGTCACTCTGAATGACTTGGTTTGTTTGTTTGTTTTTTGAGTTGGAGTCTCACTTTGTGGCCCACGCTGGAGTGCAGTGGCACGCTCACGGCCACCCCAGTGTCGATCTACTGGGCTCTGGCAATCTGTCTGCCTCAGCCTTCCAAGTAGCTGGAACTACAGGTGCACACTTCCACGCCGGGCTAATTTTTTGATTTATTGTAGAGATGCGGTCTTACCAAGTTGCCTGGGTTGGTCTCAACCCATGGCTCAGGCAATCCACTTGCCTTGGCCTCCCAAAGTACTGCGAAAGTGCTGCGATTATAGGCTTAGCCACTAAGCCCGGCCCGAGTAACTTCATTTTTTTTGTTTTCCCAGATGAAAAAAGTCCTCAAAGGGAAATGTTTTGCCAATATGAAAGAGGTGAAACGAAAAACGGCAGAAGCACTTAAAAGGCATAAAAATTGACGAGTTCAAAAACTGTTTCGAGCAGTGGAAAAAACGTCTTGATAGATGTATTGCATCAGTAAGAGATAAGTTCAGAAGTATGATTATTTAGAAAGAGGCCATGTCATGTAGAGTCTTCTAAAGCAAGGTAAAGAGCTTGCATTTTATCCAGATGGAGGTAGAGAGGAGGTGTCTTAAGTACTGTTTAAGATAAAGCAAGAGGGATTGATCTGAAAAATGCAGGGGCAGCAGAAGCTGTTGCTGACTGCACAAGAGGTGTTAAGATACAAGTTTATATAGACTTTTGGAAGGTACCCTCTGTAGTGTCACAAAGAGATGATGTACAAAAATGTTTTCGAAGTCAGAAGGACAGATTGAGAAAGGTAGTAGAAAGAACAGGACAGTATTTCTCTTTTAATTTGATTGATAGATACACCTCTTCCAATGTATATCTTTTTTTTTTTTGAGTTGGAATCTCACTCCAGTGCCCAGGCTGGAGTGCAGTGGCATGCTCACAGCCAACCCAGTGTCGACCTGCTGGGCTTCGGCAGTCCTTCTGCCTTAGCCTTCCAAGTAGCTGGAACTACAGGTGCGCATTACCACACCCAGCTAATTTTTTTTTTTTTTAAATTGTAGAGGTGAGGTCTCACCATGTTGCCCAGGCTGGTCTTGAACCTGAGGGTTCAGGCAATCCACTCGCCTCGGCCTCCCAGAGTGCTGGGATTACAGTCTTGAGCCACCACGCCCGACCAATGTATATCTTTTTAAAAAGTGGGTTAAATAGGTACTGGAAGCTGTCATCAGATTTTGACTCTGTCCATGTTAGATGTTAGCCTGTACCTGCAGTTCCCATGTTATTTATGGGCACATTGACTGAAACTGTCTAAGTACTCCAGAAATAGTCTGTTAGAGAAGTGGAAATGCTGAAAGTGACTTTTGAATGCATCCCCAGAAATGTGCAGGTGGCTGCCTCATTATGGCAGCCTGGTAATGGTATAGCCAGGTCAGGTAAGATTGGTTGGTTTATGATCCTTTATTCCAAGCAGAGCATCACTACTGTAGGAGAGAGGGCTGAGACTTTGCCACTGAGCAGGGATTTAACATGACTTGTTGGAGTGAGGTTCTAAGGAAAACACTTTAAGATTATTTGTAAGGTGTTCCTTAGTGCAGGGCTTTTGAATCAGTACCAAGAGCTTAGGGTATTGGTTAGGGTATGGGAGAACATGGGATCAGTGGGAAGAATCCTTTGGCTGGAATTCTCAGATCTATTCATCAACATGATGATTGGAAAGAGATAACCAACCATGCTTATCTGGTTTCTTTCGTACTTCTGGGAGCTGTCCTAGCTTTCAGGAGCCTTTCAAGGGCGAGAGCAAGGGTTAGTAATTGTGAAGAGGCTGTGGGCTTAAGGGATAAGTGTGATACCAGTTGTGCTGTGACTTTAGTAAGGAGGCAGCAAGTCACTAGAGG